GTGCAGGTTTTGCTACTTCCATATGCAGGGTGCAGCCAACATCTGCTTCAGCTTATGTACTAGCTTTGCGATTATGTACTTCATTGCAGTAATGTTAAAGAGAGAACTTGAGCATCTTAGAGGTACAAGACAGGCAGAGAATTACACAGATATAACTCACTCCCTCAATCAGTGCAACTGCCAGTGTTAAACATGTGAATTACAAAGTTGCAGTAAGTGCAACTGCACTTGATCAGTTTAATATTTGGAGTTCATATTTGTAAGGCCTTACCCTTGGTTAGAGGGAGCCTATCCAGAAATTCTCGAGGAGGGTTTGGGAATAGTTTTCAACCAGCAATTGACATGCCTCGGTATAACATCACTAGCTGCGTAATTGCCACAAGCACAAAGATAGTTTTTCCACTAACTCAACCTCTTGGTTTATTGACAACCTTTCCCTTTCCTGCTTTCAATGTGGGACAATGTTCGATCAGCATGGACTTTTAAATCATAGTTCATACTTCATAGTGGTTATTATTTTTGGCTAAGATCAAGTGTAGTATCTGTTCTTATCAGTATAATATCTGATACGTGGGGCAATGCCTTGCGTAATATTAAATTAGTTTTTGCTCTTATGGGGAGTCCATCACAACAGCTTGCTGTTGGGGCACTCAAGTGTCGCCCTTGCGTTGCACTACTGCAACGTCTACAGAATAACCGTTTCGTGACCATTGACGTTCCAATATTATCGAATGTTGAAATGGTTGTAAGCCCAATTTTCAGTTCTTGGTCATTGGCCCACGATTTAAACACACCAGACAAACATGCAGCTTGTGTTTGTATTATTAGGCCCATGTTCAATATAAAAATTGGGTTGATACTTGAAACTCACACCTCAACAACAATGTAGGTTTCCCTACAGTACAACATTCCTCATCATGACTCATGAGCAATTGAGCATCCAAAGCTGTTCCTTTCTTTGCTGCTGGATCTGCAGAAAGCTTTGTTTCTCTAAAAGCATAGGTTATAGGTTATTGAGGATCTTCATCGATCTCCAGGGAAAAAAAACTTTTAACACATTTTCTCCACCTAGCTTGCAGTTGCCAAGGTGATGAATCATGGCCAAAGGCTTGAACAGCAGAGCCTTAGAATCAGCTCAAATCTAAACCTTTTTCCATCCCTGCTGTCTGCCAACCTCTGTACCTCTCACATTCAGCAAATAAGCTTGTGCAGCAGATTTCCAAATTGCCCCACAAAACCATTTTGAAGTAGTAAGTGCTACCCCTGAAGGTAACACCATAGGCCATAGCCTCCACTGCCAATGAGCTGCCATCTCTATTCATCCTAGTTACCTAAGGATCAGGCAATGAGCAATACCAAACTTGTTGAGATGAAGCACCTGCCAGCCTGTCCTTGATCTTCCATTTCCTTAGTATATTCTGTTTCCTTTACATTATTTACTACTTATCAGATCTGTTGTGACCTGAATTTGACTCTTCTATATATATCAAAAAAAAAAGCAATTCAAACAAGTCTAAAATCAACTTCATGTCTTCATTCATGATGGGATATTCCTTCCAATACATCACATTGTACCTTAAGCTTCATTTTCATCGTCGTGGTCATCATATATTCAAGGAGATTTGATAATAGTTTTGTAAATATATATTTGCATGCCACTTCTTCTTAATATGCATTATTAGTTCTCAGGTGGCTTTTAGCACGAATGCTTTGTTCCCATTACAAACAGTTGAAAATCGAGTCAACTCTTAATATGTATGGGAATCTTTGTAGGGATTGACTACCGTGACTGTCCAAATAACATGGCTCTTACATTCTAGATGCATGTTGTCAACTCCCAAACAGGGTCGTGAGGAGATGATATGACAATGATAACCACGAAGAAATTAATGTTGAGAAGACATATTACCCATCATATGTATTCTCTGGATGGAAGTTGAACACAAAAACCAGATCTCCACGCTCAAACACGATGACCTGAAATTAAAAAAAAAATAAGAA